GCCAGCCAAAATAACTTGCTCTCCTTTGATGAGATTACAAGTAGGGCCAATACAGATAATAAAATCGGTATAATCACGTGGCTGCGTGTTGCGTGGCAATTTAATTAAGAAGCTGCCAGCACACAAAAAAACCAACACAGTGTACACTAAAAGGATTAAAACCCAACCAATGGCCTTCTGAAAAAGAGTTTAATGCAGACTAAGAGAAGCTGCAGCCATTGGGGCTGCCATGGTTCCTTCCTTCATCTCTGGACTGTGTCTCTGCTGGTGCTCGTGCTCCTGGCCTTTGGCTGGGGAAGAGGAGCAGGAGAAGAAAGCTAAACTGCCCAAAACCATCAAGCTGCCAGCACAGGAGGGAGCAAGGATTGATGAAGGGATATATGGGGAACAGGGAAATGAGATTATGTGCTAGCACAGCCTGAGGGAAGCTGCAGAGATAGTTGATTTGAGCCTGATGGCAGGAGACAGGAAGAGGGCTCTCACAAGCAAAGTGTTTCAGACTGCTGGATCTGCTTGAATCGTGGTGCAAAGTGGGAGCAGCTCTGGGGCCATGGTGGGGTCTGAGCCCCTCAGCTCTGAGGGGACTCCTCTCCCAGACCCCAGCAGGGAAGAGCTCTGTGTGTGTCTGTGTAGCCTGGTGACCCCTGGGCTGCAATGCCTCAGTGAAGGGAGATGGGTCAGTCCTCCCCAGAGCCACTGGTCCATCTGTAATTTCAGCCTTTTTGTCCTTTTCCAGCCATGCAGCCAAATGCCAGAAAATCTGAATGTACCCTGCTTGTCCTACAAGAGGGAGCTGGTTCCATCCAGGGCCAGGTTGGCTGGGCAGCATGGGGGGCTGGAATTGGATGATCAATAAAGTCCATTCCAACATCAAAAAAATCCATATTTCTGTTAAGAGATGCTTTGCTTGCTCAAGGCATTAATGCAAATAAGGAAAAAGAATTTTGACAACATATTTTGTTCTTGCTCAGGGTGGGATGAGGGATGAGAAGCCCCTCCATCAAACAGGGGGATCAGGGCTGTGTCCCAAACCAGCCCCAGCTCCAGGTCCTGCCAGCTGCCACTGCTCCCACAGGGACCTCACTGCCTGCTCCAGGCACAGCGTGCTGCAAAACCCAATTTATGCAAAACCAAATTGCATTTCATAGCACAGTTTCGCTCTGCTCTGCCCTTTTATGTTTTAGGGTTGAACTGCCAGAACTTTGCTGTCTCTGCCACGATCTTCTGTACTGGAGTAGATTTGATAGAGATAGAAATGATCCGTTTATTTACTTTTATTGATGAGCCTTACAGTAGCAAATGAGCTTGCAATGCAGAACTCTGCAGCAGCTGTGTGAAAACAGACTGAGCTCCCTGCATAGTCAGGGCTGGCTTTCAAGCCTGCAGTATTAAACCAGACTTAGTGCCTTTAAAAGGTGCTATTCCCACTGGAGACAGGCAAGTGAGAATGCCTTGGGCACAACACTTTGTACAGCTACAAAAGAAATATTCAGGGGCACAGAATTTTGCACCCAAAATGAGGTTGTGGTGGCTGTTGGAGCCATGAGTGCTCATTCCATGGAAATCCTGTGGATTTACAGATGTGGCAAGGTTTTGTCTTTCCTAAAGTTTGTCAGAATGGGAGCTGGAGGTGCCCTCATCCCAGTTCATCCCAGTTCATCCCAGTTTTCTGGCTCCTGTTTGTGGTTCTTCCTCTGTCCCTTCATGTGTCTGGCACTTGCCCTCCTTGTGCCTTGGAGCTGCAGGTTTTCAGCAGGGAGAGGATAACAGATAGATTTACAGATGTGGCAAGGTTTTGTCTTTCCTAAAAGTTGTGGATGCAATGAGATGGGTCAGAATGGGACCTGGAGGTGCCCTAATCCCAGTTCATGCCATTTATCCCAGTTTATCCCAGTTTTCAAGCTCCTTTTTGTGGTTCTTCCACAGGTGCTATTCCCGCTAGAGACAGGAAAGTGAGAATGCCTTTGGTGTAACATTTAGTACAAAAGAAATATTCAGGGGCACAGAAACCCCCTTTTTGCACCCAGAATGAGGCTGTGGTGGCTGTTGGAGCCATGAATGCTCATTTCATGGAAATCCTGTGGATTTACAGATGTGGCAAGGTTTTGTCTTTCCTAAAGCTTGTGAGATGGGTCAGAATGGGAGCTGGAGGTGCCCTAATCCCAGTTCATCCCAGTTCATCCCAGTTCATCCCAGTTCATCCCAGTTTTCTGGCTGCTCTTAGTGATTCTTCCTCTGTCCCCTCATGTGTCTGGCACTTGCCCTCCTTGTGCCTTGGAGCTGCAGGTTTTCAGCAGGGAGAGGATAACCCGCAGTGCTGTTTGCCAGCAGCACGCTCAGAATAATCACTGTGCTCCTGCCGTGCTCCTGCTGGGGTGTTGGGATGATAAATACACATGTAAATGTAGAAAATGCCAGAGATAAAGTGGATGACAAATGGGCTGTGCTTCCTCTGCTCTGCAGAGGGAAGGAGATGCTCAGCACATACACACAGAGGCCGGGGATGATTTTAAGCTCCGCTTTTATGATCATAAGATAATAAGGTTGCATAAGGAGCTGTGTAGTTTTAAATTATGCCAAACATAAGTCATTCCTTTACCTTGGCTTTCACAAATCCAAGCAATTGCCCCAAGAAAGGTGAGAGGTGTTTTACAGAAGGCTGAAGCTTTGCTGTCGTTTAACTCTGACACCTGGGCACCATTTCTGGTCCAGCTGAGTGCCACGGAGCAGGGCCATAAAAATGATTCCTCCTGGCATCTTTGCAGCTTGCACACGCCCAGCAACCCCTCCCAGGTTTTTTTGCCCTCCAAACAGAGCAGGCTGTGGCTGTGTGAGCGTGGGCACGGTGACGTGCTGGATGGAGCCAGGCGAGGGAAGAGCCTCGTGACTCTGGGGAGGATGACTCGAGGGAGGCTGACTGCTCTGCAGGGTGTCAGTGCAAGAAATCCAACCGAAAAACCCTGGCCACGCTGCCTTCACAGCGTGTCTGGCTGGCCCTGTGGGGTGCAAGGCCAAGCATCGCTTCAGGAGTGGCTTTGCACCTCTGTCCTGGGCGTTTCAAACATTTATTTGGTCATTTTCTAATTACGCAGTCGCTTGTCTGGGCTGCTCGTCTCAGAGCTGGAGCTTTGGGGTTTCCTGCACTTAGCTCTGACCATGGAAGGTCACATTTGCTAAATGCAGCAGGAAGACAAGCTGGGGACAGATATTTGACATTATTTATCTTGACTGATTTGCTCTGTGGAAAAAATTATTGCACAGTCACATTTCTGCATGCGAATACAAATATAGCTCCCTGCAAATTTAGCTCCAAGTTTATACCACAGGAAAAAGAATGTTCCAGAACATGCTAATGGTAATTTAATATTTTCAAATTGCAGCTCTGTGATGTGGAATTATGACATTACAGTGCTGTTGTTCTCTGGGGCAGTTGGAAAGGGTGATTCAAAGGAAACATTTACATGGTAACAGCTCCCCATGTGTCTGCTGCCCATATGCTGGGTGCATTATTTGGTGCCTGCAGGCTTTTCCCCCCTGCATCTGCTGGAAGACAAGACCTGATGTAAGTCAGGGTTTTCAAGGTTTATGTCTGTGCTCCTGCTGTAGAAGCTTTAAAGTCTTCCTTTAAGTCTTGCCAGTCCCAAGGATTTGCTTTGGCTGCTGCTGCTGGGGTCACCAGGGGAGCTCCTGTCTCTTCTGACCCTCACCTGCCCCTGAGCTCCAGCTCTGACACCTGCTCGTGTCTCCCTCACAGGAGATTTCTTGCCCTTCTAATGTTTTATCACTCTTGAGGCATAGAAGTTGTGGGTTTGGTCTGTGTGTGTGCCTCTGGTGCTGTTCACAGGGGTCCCAGGATGAGGGAGGAGATGAGAATCTTGACTCCATGTTTCAGAAGGCTGATTTATTATTTTATTATATATATTATATTAAAAAAATGATATATTAAAACTATACTAAAAGAATAGGAGAAAGGATTTCATCAGAAGGCTATCAAGGAATAGAAAGGAATGATAATAAAATCTTGGTGACTGACCAGAGAGTCTGAGCCAGCTGGGCTGTGATTGGCCATGAATTAAAAACAACCACATGAGACCAATCAAAGATGCACCTGTTGCATTCCACAGCAGCAGATAATCATTGGTTTTCTTTTCCTCTGAGGCCCCTCAGCTTCTCAGGAGAAAAAATCCTAAGGAAAGGATTTTCCATAAAATGTGTCTGTGTGTGTGTGTGTGTACCTCTGACACTGCAGGGTGCTGTTGTGTCTCTGGCTGAAGCTCAGTAACCCCCACCCTTCAATCTGCCCCTCCATGGAAATGCTCTGGTAGCAAATGCTGTCCTTCCCTGGCTGTCTGCTCCCTCTGTGTCTTGGTGAGAGAAAGGTGAGAGGTGTTTTACAGAAGGCTGAAGCTTTGCTGTCTTTTAACTCTTGACATCTGGGCACCATTTCTGGTCCAGCTGAGTGCCACGGAGCAGAACCCTAAAAATGATTCCTCTTGGCATCTTTGCAACTCACACACAGATTTTTTTGCCCCTCTAATGTTTTATCACTTCAGGAGCTTAGGAGCTGTGGGTTTGGTCTGTGTGTGTGCCTCTGACACTGCAGGGTGCTGTTGTGTCTCTGGCTGAAGCTCAGTAACCCCCACCTTTCAATCTGCCCCTCCATAGAAATGCTCTGGTAACAAATGCTGTCCTTCCCTGGCTGTCTGCTCCCTCTGTGTCTTGGAGGACCTACAGGACTTGGAGAGGGGCCAGGATGGGCCATTTTTCTTCTGCTAATAGCAGGTTTCATCCCACAGCTTGTTTCAGGTGGGTGCAGAGCTCTGTGAAAATTCTGAGAAGTGCAGGTGCTCCTCACCTGGATCCCTCTGCCTTTTCATCCCCAGTGGTGCATATGTGTGTCAGGGGGAGGTGAAATCTGATTGTGGGCTGGTGTGGTGAGCACAGCAAAAGAGCCTCTTGCTCCTTGTAACTCCAGTTTTGGTGTTTTTTTTGCATTCCAGAGTCGGAAGCATGCCAGCAAAGTCCGCCTGTACTACATGCTTCACCCCGTGGATGGAGGCTGCCCGGCCAAAAAGCTGCGCTCAGAAAACGTGGGTACAATCCCAGCCCTGTTTGTTCACTTTCTTTGTGCATCATTGACTCTGGCCTACAACATTGTCTCTCTTACAGCCACAGCTGATCAGGTGCCCAGAGGTAACATTTAGATTAGCTGAAACACAAAGTAACTGGAAATAATTTTCAATAAACTGCACAAGAATTATTATGCGCATCGGCAGCAGTAATTGTGTTTTTAGTTATTTGAATGTTCTTTCATAGGAAAAAATGTGCTGATGGCAAATACTCAGGGCTTGCTCCATTTCTTCCAATTCTCCCAGACCAGGCTGAGTCTGCTGGTGAGCAGCTGGGGCAGGTGACAGGGGCAGTGCCTCCAGGTTGATGTGCTTTATCCAAAGGCTCCTCACTCACCTTTGCTCTCAGTCTGCAAGTTTAAAGATTGGCCATTGGCTTCCTCTGCTGTGTTCTAATAAACAAAGGGAGGTGAGGAATTGGACCAGCTCAGAGCCATTTGTCAGGCAATGGATAGGAGGAGGCTGAATTTTTAAGAGATGGCTTCATGGGGAATTATTCATTTGGCTCCTTCCCACGTTCTGCTGCAGTGAGGTTCCCAAACCAGTTCAGTGTGACTGGGGCTGAGTGCTGTTGATATTCAGTGTGATATCTTGTAATTAAAGGGAGAATCATGCAAGTTTTGCCCAAGGAATCTGAAAGCTGATTTACGTAGTAATTGAAACTCTAGTGAACTTTTCTGTTGCACACAGAAAATTGAAACTTTTCTGTTGCACACAGGCCAATTGCAGATGCAATCTGCCCCTCCACAGCAGGACCTTGCAGTGATTTTATTAACAAAATAAAATATATTATTGTGTATAATATATAAAAATGAAAATATATTAAAAATTCTATTTTTATATATTTTTACATATTTTATATATTTATATATTTTAAATTTATATATTAATTTATATATTGATGTATTTATATATTAAAATATGTATATTTATATATTTTATATATTAATATATATTTAAAATATATAAATATATTTTAAAATATTTTATTTTTGGTGTCATTGATAACAGTGTGGGCACTACAATGAACATGTACATGGAGATGGGGAACAGGGTCCTCTAAGGGGATTATGACTAACAAGGAGCCCCATGCTGCATGGGCACCTCAGCATGGGATGTGGAGCACAGGGAACCAATCAAACCTCAAATAAGTCAAAGTTGAACCATTTCCCACTGCTTTTGTGAAAGGCAACGTGGAGAAGGAATGTAATTCTGTGTTTGCTGATGCTTTTCCCAAGGGCAGCCCTAGTGGGGGTGGATTAACGTGTCCTCATGTTCTAGGTGAATGCCAGGCTAGGCCAGACCTAAATGCTAAAATTATTTGTGTTGTAAAAATATAGCAGGGAAAATCTGCCAACATTTGCAGCTCAGAGTAGGCCTGTTGCTGATCAGATATTATACAAGCCTTTGCATTTAGAGTGAGCAGAACTATTCAGGATGTCTCTAATGCTGCACAATGAGATCCCTACCACGTGCACATGCAGTGCAGTGCCCAATCCCAGCAGTGTCACTCAGGCCATGGCACAGAGACTTTAATGAGAATTAGAAACAATCCATGAAAACCAATTAAATTTGTGTAGAGGCAGCTGCAGCTAAAAAGGGAATATTAGCCTTTTTTTTTCATCAAAACTGTTAGATGGCTGAGTGCCATTGGGTTTGTGTTCTGCTGACCACAGAACTAACACCCTGTCCTTCTGCCAGGTGGCAGCAGGAGGGTGAGGTGGCTGCAGCTGTGGGTACTCAGTGCAATGGGGCTGGAAACAGAATTTGCTTCCTGACCTTTCTGTGAGGCCAAGGGAGGGGTTGGCTGCTGTTTGAGGATTGCAAAAAAACCTGTATTTCCAAAACACCCCTGAAGTAGAAGCCTTATACAAGTAACCTTCCCATGGATTACTCAATTATTGTGCTCTTCATTATTGGTTTGATTTGGTGTGGAGGAGGGGAAAACCCTCATGTCTTGACCTTCCATGAACTAGTACTTGCTTTTTGCTGGTACCATGACAAAAACAGGCTCCAGAACAGAAATTACCTGAATTTCCTATGGAGCAGCACAGAAAGCAGCTCTTTACAGCAGCACCTTCATGCACCAAAAATGAATTCAAATTTCAAAGTTACTTTACAGCACTTTAATGCTGTGGTTTATACTGCTGTGTTCTAGGGTTTGTATAATCTTTTCTTCTTAGTAAAACTTGGGAAATGAAGACAGCAGATTTGTGTCTGTGGAATGAAAATCCTTGCTTTTCCTGTGGATTGCTTAAGGAATGGCCTGTGTGAGGATTATGTCCTTTAGCAGCTTGTTAACAGGCAGCCAAATAACCGAGGTTAATTCTGTTGGATATATGAGACTGAAGTTCCTAATATTACAAAAAGAGGCCCTGTAAATGAGGCTGGAGCATGGAAAGAGTGGAGATGTCAGTGCTGGGAGATAGATGCTGTAACTCCAGGTGTAGGAGTGATTGGGGTAGGACGGATGGAGAGATCTCTGAAGCCAAGACTTGGAATTTGGGGTTTATTGCAAAGGGCCTGAGTGCAGGGCCCTGCTGGGAGCTGCCAGGCACAGCTCAGAGCAGGCCTGAGAGAGGAGCCCCAGAGAGAGAGAGAGAGAAGAATAAAAGCAACAGGGGAAAAAAGCGAGGTTCCCGTTCCAATACCATAAATCTTCTTCTGTGTTGAATATTCTGATTCTCACTAACCAATCCAGTACAAGACACAAATCCTACAGCATTTCCATACAGCCTATAAGAATCATTACATCACCATCCTGTGTTACATTTTAAACCCTACAAACTCCTCTTTGGGCCCCTCTGCCAAGCTGGCAGGGTCTGCTCTGACCCTTGGGCCTGTCTGCAAGCAGAGGGTGTTGTTCCATCAAAAGGGGATCACCTTCAGCCAGCCACACCATTGTTTTCCAGTTGTTCAGTAACTGAGGGATCTCAAAGCTTGCTTTCATTTCAATCTCACTCACAGTTTCCATATTCTCAAAATCTTTTGCCAGGCAGTCATATTTATAAGGCTTTCCTGTTTCATCTTCCCCAACATCCAGTGATGTGTTCTGTTGTGCTTCAGTTTGTGTGAAGCCAGTGGCTTCTGTGCTGCATTGTAGTGAAGGTTTGCCAGGCAGGAGGGGCTGGAGGAAGCTGCAGAAGCAGAATGTAGAAATATCCCTTGGCTGGGTCTGGCAGCAGGGGGTTAAGGAGCTGCTGGTGGATTTACAGATCAGAGCTGTCAGTGCCTGGTCACTGTTTTGTATTTGTGGGGTGCCCCATGGCAGGGAGGAATGATGAATATGACTCCATGTTCTCAGAAGTCTTAATTTATTATTTTATGATACTATATTATATTAAAGAATACTAAACTATACTAAAGAATACAGAAAGGATGCTTACACAGTGCTAAAAGGATAATAATGAAAACTCATGACTCTTCCAGAGTTCCAACACAGCTTGGCACCAATTGTCCAAAGAGTCAAAACAACCAGAATCCAATGAAACAATCACCTGTGGGTAAACAATCTCCAAACACATTCCAGACGAGCAAAACACAGGAGAAGCAAATGAGATAAGAATTGTTTTCCTTTTTCTCTGAGGCTTCTCAGCTTCCCAAGAGAAAAATCCTGGGTGAAGGGAATTTCCAGAGAATGTGAATGCCACAGGAGTGGGCTGGGGTGCAGAACACCCCAGGGAGCAGCCAGCTGCCCCTTGGAGAGCCCTGTGGCCCAGCTGAGCCGTGTGGTTGCAGCACCTGCACAGCCCTGGGTGTCTTTTGTCACCGTGTCATTCAGCAGGTGACAAAAGACACCCGGATCAGCTTCCCCCGGGCCTCTTGGGTTTCAGGTAAAACAGCCCCTGACAAATGAGAAGGCATAATTACCCTTCAGGGCTGGATCACCTGGAGCACCTCTGGCTCTGTGCAGGGCTTTGGGTGGTGGAGGAGGGAAGGGAAGTGATGCTGCTAAGGGATGATCCAGACCTGGGGAAATTCTTAACACAGCAGAGCTCAAATTCCTCCTCGTGTTGGTGCATAAAACTGCTCTGAAAATAAAACCCCTGCTAGGAAGCAGAGGTCTGTCATGCATGTCTGGAGGGGCTCACCAAGGGTTTGGGGACACCCCTGTCCTGCTGGTGGCTGCCACACATGGAGGTGCTGGCCCAGAGACTTGGGGGTACCCAGATGAGCTGCACAGCCAGCTGTGGGTCAGTGTTAGTGGTACCCTGAGCTCTGTGTGAGGTATTGGAGGGCTCTTTGAGGGGGCTTTAATTTTTTATTTTTAATTGCAGTCTGGCTAAGAAAGTAGGTTGAAAAGGAAAAAATGTCACTGAAGAGCAGGCCTGGCAGAGGAAGAGACCCTGGTGCATTAACACTGAAGTGTATCAGCTTTTCAAACGAGCTCTGTTGGAGGCTCTTTATGTGTTGCCACTGATGATCAATAGATACTGGAAATTTTCTACTCTGCTCTTAACTTTCAAGTGATTTCCCTTTGAAGGCATAAAATATCATGAGAGAAAGCTATTTAAAAGAAGTGCAAATTACACTCAGAACAGTACTAAACACCTCTTGAGATTCCTCCCTAAGGTTTGATTTACAGTTATCAACAACAGAAAAGTGATGAAAATCAGTCATTTTTCTAAAAGTGGATTTTTGGGGGGGGGGGGGGGAAATGACCTTCATTGGTGGGTCAGGTGTCCACTCTGTATTGGATCCTGCTGGAGGGACCTGAGAGCTTTCAGACAGTTCATTTATTTCTCCCACCTGCAGAGTGGGTTGTGCCCTCCAGATGTGTCCCCCCAGGTGTTTTGGGGTCTCTTAAAAAGTGTTTCAGGAGGAAGCACCAGTGTTGGATGGCAGGGAAAGCTCTGGGCCTGTGTGACCCCATCAGCCAGAGAGGACGAGCAGAGGCTGAGGGAAGGGAGGCTCGGGGTGTGCGAGGAGCTGCAGGGCCACGTGGGACATGGGGACAGGCTGGGGGACATGGGGACAGGCTGGGGGACATGGGGACAGGGTGAGGGACACAGGGACAGGCTGAGGGACACGGGGACAGGCTGAGGGACACGGGGACAGGGTGAGGGACATGGGGACAGGGTGAGGGACATAGGGACAGGCTGAGGGACAGGCTGGGGGCCATGGGGACAGGCTGAGGGCCATGGGGACAGGGTGAGGGACACAGGGACAGGCTGAGGGACATAAGGACAGGCTGGGGGCCATGGGGACAGGCTGAGGGACAGGCTGAGGGACACAGGGACAGGCAGAGGGACATGGGGACAGGGTGAGGGACACAGGGACAGGCTGAGGGACATGGGGACAGGGTGAGGGACACAGGGACAGGCTGAGGGACACGGGGACAAGCTGAGGGACACAAAAACAGGCTGAGGGACAGGCTGAGGGACATAGGGACAGGCTGAGGGACACAGGGACGGGCTGAGGGACACAGGGACAGGCTGAGGGACACGGGGACAGGCTGAGCTCCCAGTGCAGAGCAGGGTGGAGGTGCTGGGCAGCTGGAGGTGTCCCCAAGCTGGACACAGCTGGGATGAGGCAGGAACAAGGCTGGGAGAGATGAGGAAGGGAAACTCCTTGGCATGACAGCCTCGATTCCTCCCTCATGTTCTTCTCTTCCCTTCTCTCTGGGGCTGTGCTCACACACCTCTTTGTTTTGTCTGTGTTTTTGTCTCCACGCAGGGCAGTGATGGTGACTCAGTGGACAAGAACAAATGCTGCACACTATGTAACATGTCCTTTACCTCAGCAGTGGTGGCAGAATCGCATTACCAAGGGAAAATCCATGCCAAAAGGTTAAAACTGTTGCTAGGGGAACAACCAGCACTGAAGGCCACAGGTAGGTGCAGAGGGGCTGGTGCAGAGGGGTGTGGGGGCTTGGCCAAGGGGCTGGCTCGGTGTGTGCAGGCAGAAAATGGGAACAAGGTGGAAAGCTGGGCTGGCAGAAGCAGCTATTAATTTGTGTTGCTGTCATAACAACCTTTAGAAACTCCTGATGCTCATTACTGTCTGCTTTGTTTATGTAGATTAGGGTTTATCAGCTGGGACTGGCCCTGGTGCCAGAGCCCTATCTCCAGCTCCACACTTCCAAAGTGTTTTCTCAGTGGAGGGCAATGTCTCCACTGGGTGCAGATAGCCAAGCCTGGCTTTAATTATCAGCAGTTTAATTATCAGCCCAGCTAATATGTTTAATAAACCTTTGGTGTTACTGTACAGTACAGAGCATCATCTGCTCTTACCACAGAGGGAAAGCCAGGCTTTAAAAACCCTTGGATTGATTGTCTCTTGATTTTTGCCCAGATGGGTTTTGTGCTTTCCTCCACAGTGGTTCTAGTAATGCAGCCTATTAACTTTCACATTTAAAAAGTCAAATGTTGAAATTGGACAATTTAACCATCTTATTGTTTGCTTAACCATAAAGTCCTTGAAAACCACTAATAATCTGTGAAAAAAAAAATTCCTCTGTGGTTGTGGAAGCAGAAAATGCTTGAACAAATCACTCACCTTTCTCCAGGAAGGATTGCTGAGGTCCTGCAGACAGATGTGACCCAGAATTGCTGCCATTGGCACTTCCTTCAGCACAAAATACAAATGGAGCTGTGTGTGCTGTAGATGTGATTAGATAACGGGGCTTAACACTCTGTGTGTGTGGTTTTGTGGCCTTTTTAACTTCACAGACTGTAGATGCTGATACAGAGGGTGTGATTTGTCCTTTGCCAGGGACTGGGAAGACAAGGGCTTGCCTTCCCAGGGTGGGCTTGGGAGCTGTTGGCCCCTTTGCCTGAGGGAGCGTGGGGAATTGTGTTAGGTGGTGCTTTAGGTTAGGCTGTTTGTGTTAGGCTTGGTTTATCTGGCCATGCTGGGGCACCAGCGTGTCCTGTGGAGGAGAAGGTAAAGCCATGGCAGCCAGGAGGAAGGCTCTCCCTGAGCTGTCATGGTCCTCCACACCTGGCTCATGTGGGGCTCCTCAGGCTGTTCCTGCAGCTGGCACACAGCTGGCACACAGCTGGCACACAGCTGGCACAGACTCAGGCTTGGTGTTTGTGTGTCAGGCCTTGCTGGAGCCCCATCCCTCGAGGTGCAGCCTGCCAGCAGCTCCTCCCCTGGCACCAAAGGACCTGCCACAAACCCTGGTACTCCCAGTGAGCTCCAGGTGAGCTGATGTTCACAGCAGTGCTGATCCTGTGTTACACTGACAGCTTGGATTCACCCTTTAGCTGCAGGGCCTGGCCAAGGCAGGGCTTGCTGAGAGCTGCAGCCTTGCACTGTGGCTTTTGTCTCACTTTTTAATCATCTAGATCAGCCTCACAAGGCTCTAAGTGAGCCATGCTGTGTGCTCTGGGGTAATGGGCTCTTCAGCCATCCTAATCACTGGGAAGGAGCAGCTCAAGGACTCATCAGCTCTTACAGACACTTGATCTGGAAGATGAAGCTGAGCTCAGGAATACATTAATAAGCACCTCCTTGCTCTCCAGGAGTCCTCAGCAATCTGCCCTTTGGACACAGCATTTTTCTGGGCTTCCTACCCAGCAATTTTCACTGGGTTTTTGTCCCAGTCCTCTGTGGCTGGCACTAGGGAGCATTAAGTCTCTCAGAGCAGAGACTCCACTGCTCATGAGCCCTCAGAGCCAGCCAAGCACAGCCCTGAGCGTGCTGGATGCTCCTGGGGAGGAGATTCTGCTGCTGGATATTCTGGGGTTTCTGTCTCATCAATCCCAAAGAAAATCACATCTATTCTTAGACCCCTTAGGGAGATCCACGTTCTCCTTCACAGTTGCCATCCAGATGGAGCACAGATGTCCTGTTCTCTGCTGGTGCTTTCAGGAGAAGAAGTGGCCCAACAGTTGGGTTTCTCACAAAAGCCATGTCTCATCATGACAGAGAAATAGTTGTCATCTTTCCTGTTCTCTGCTCTACAAGGCTGCAGCCCTCAGAGGCTTCATGTCAGCACTATTGCAGATGAATTTCTCCAGTCATTTCCAGCATCCCCTGTCAGTTTGCATCCCATCATCACCACGAGTTATAAACCAAAGGATTGTGGGCAAGACCTGCTGTCTTCATCATCCAAGTGTGAGGACCTGCAGGCAGCATTCCAGGAAAGTGGTGGTGGCCCTGTTTATTCTTTTCAGCTGCCTCTTGGAAAGTCACATTGTCACATAATCAAGACATAGGCATGCATTTTAAGTGGAATTCCATTGTTTTCAATAGGATTTAAATCAAGGCCATTTTGAGAGGAAAACTTCAACGACATGGAAGATATTAAAAAGGGTCAGATGTGGAGATAAAAGGGAACGCTTCAACTCTTCTCCATTCCAAAGCTATACAACTTTTTGTAAATTACTGAGGGTAGAGACTTTGGGACACCAAAAGGGACTGAGCAAATGGCTTTTTGATTTGGGTGCTAGGATCTGTCCAGCAGCAGCTGGAGTCTTAGTCCTGGATTTCTGGGATTTCTTCTGGAAAAAAACTGAGTTTCCCAGTGCCTCCTTGTTGTGGCTCACTTAGTTTCTTGTCCTCATGCTGAGTTTCTGGAGTGTGCCAATGGAAGAAGTTGGGTGCCATTTAAATCCAGCTTGGAATAAAAAGCTTTGGATGTGAGAAAGAAGTCAAACATTAGTTCATTGCCGGAGTGCTAAAGTGTTTCTAACTTTGTATTTTGCCTCTTGCAGCAAAGTAAGACTTTCTCACTTCCCTCCCACAGCGAAAGGGAACGTAAGGCAGACTGTCATGAGCTATTTAGCATTTTGAAATACTTGAAATAGTCAAACTCGCAGCTTTTATGTTTGTGTTTTAGATGGAGAAACATTTTTAACTTTTGACGTTTTGTGAGTGTTTATTATTAATTTTCATGTCACTGCTCAGGGAATGATGGCATTTGCTGTTCTGCAGGAGTTATGTAGTGCATATCAAAATGATAAATTCACATTTGTGGAGAAGTCAACTTTCATCTGTTTCTCTTTGGGAGAATTTGGTAAACTTGGGATGCTTTCATTAATTTCCAGGCTGGGCTCAACACACCTTAGGACTGGTGGGGGTTGTCAGTGGGACCTGAGGAATGTGACTTTAAAGAAAATATTTTGGCATTTTGTGAGTGCTAAGAGAAAATCCTTTCCCATGGCAGCCCCCATGTGATGCAGGGACTCTACTGTGGAGCTGCAGCCCATGGTCCCATGGGAGCCAGCTGTGGAGGAGGGCTGGGGTGGGCATGGGGGGCTCTGCTGCCATCCCCAGCAGCTGGACTGCCAAATCCCTCCTGCATGGAGTTTGGGGGAGCACAAACCACCAGCCTCAGGGGCTCAGAGGCACAGCCAGGGGCTGGCAGCAGAGATGCCTCTGTCAGGTTTCCTTAGTGAGCAGGAGATGTAACTCCTGTGGACATCACCAGCTCCGTGAGCTTCAGCCTGCCTGGTCCCCCTCTGGCAGCAGTGTGCATAGAAACAAGGAGAGAGCTGGCCAGAAGATTGGATAGATTTCACTTTATAGCCTGGGGCTTGTGGAACAGCAAGTCAGATCTGGTGCAGAGCTCCTGGGCTGCTGAAATTGCTGCTTGTTTATAATGCTCCAAACTTCTCTGCAGCTCAGTCTGCTTCCCTGGACTCAGCCCTGTCCCGGCCTCACCAGGGCTGTTCCAAGTCCCTGTGGCATCACTGGGCTCTGGGCATGGACCCTTCCTGCAGGAGCATCAGGAACACATCAGCAGGAAGCCAGCTGTGCTTGCTTCTCATGAGTCAAGCAGGTGCAAAGTCTGTGTAACCCCGGTTTGACCAGGAAATACTGCAATTCCCTAATTTTCTTCCTAATGACTGTGCTGGCTGCTGGCTTTGCTCTTTGCTCACCCTGGCAGTTCTGCTGCATGCACCTTGGAGGGGCTGGGCCGTGTCTCTCTTGCTGGAACCATAGAAAAGACTTTTTTTTAGGAGCAAAATCCAGCCAGACCCTGCCTGGCCCTGCCTGGAGCAGCTCTTCAGAGGCAGCGTCATCACTGCTGGAACTCTGATACCTTGGCAGTCATCATCAAAAACAATAGAAGGTTATAAACCCCTGGAAATTGATAAGGTTGTAAGTAATGTTATATGTAAGATAGAATTTCCTTGAAGGTGTCCCTTACTGAGCAGGTCAGCAGAAGATTTATAACAATATTAACTTTCTCAAGCCAAGGAGTCAATCACAGTGGGCTCCAGGCATAATTATATGTCTAAATATATCCCTGAGCTGCTGTTCCTGGTGTCAGACACTGAGGTGGGTTTGGCATTTGCTGCCCTGTGCGCTCATCAGGGCTCAGCTGGATCATCTCCTGATCAAAGACAGCCACCACACACCTCCAAATGTGCCTATTCCAGTACCATGGAGAGAGCAGGTTGTTAATTATTTAAAGAGCAGACATTTCATCTGGAAAAGAAAGGAAAAGGAAAGCCACATAAAAGGGAATTTTTGAATGAAGTGTGATAATTAAGTGCTAGTCCTTGTATATTTTTGTATCCCAGTGTTACCTGAACTTTATTTTACTTCAAACTCTTTTTTTCCATGGGTTTGTGACTTGTATTGTACAAAGTTGGGAAACTCTGTTGAACAAAGTGCATTCCATTATATAAAGACTAATCACTCACTTTTCTTTGGGATGATTTGGGGGTTATATTTGTGTTCCTGGATGGCTTTTGATGAATCTGAAGGAAAATAGAATTAAATTAAGGTTGTGTGTTGCTGGTATCTGACAGTTCACAATGTGAAGGTCTTTGAAGGATGGGACTGACTGTTGAGTATTTTTTTTTTCATCTGTGACAGTTTGCAGTGACTGTGGCTTTCCCATTCTTTCTGAGACCAAGTAAATTGAAAAATAAGAATCCTGAGATAATGATAAATATGTCTCTCTATCCTGAGAAGGAGATGGCTCTGCATGGTGTATTTATTCTCCACTGATGATTTTTCCTGGGAGTAGCAATTCAAGCAGGATAAGTTTAGCAAATTTAGTCAGAACAGTGATAAGATGTGTAATTGCACTGAGAGCATCCTTCTTCCCAGTTAGTGAAATGCAGAAAGCTGAGGAACAGTCCTGGGCTGTCCTTTCATGATGCTTTTCTTAATGAGAAATGGTAGCTTTCCAAGCAGCATGTCTTGGTTTGGAAAGACAGGTGCCTGCTAAGGAAGGCAGGAGCATCCTCTGAAATGGAGAAAATGAACCCTTCCCCCCTCTGAATTGCTATAAATTTTAAATTAAGGGTCTCTCAGGCAAAAAAAAAAAAAAAAAAGGGAGCAGGAAATAACAGTTCTTTAATAGGGAAGAAAATAAAAGGATAAAATAAACAATGCAGTGAACTAAACCAACACTGCCAGAGTCAGAACCCAGCCTGACACCCTGTGGGTCAGGGTGTGAGCAGCAGAACCATTGGAATTGTGGCTGCAGCCCTCCTGGAGTAGGGATCCTGTCCTGTCCTACCCTAGGAAGATCCTAGCAGTCTTCCTCTGACTATCTAGTGGAAGGAGAGGCAGCTGCTGCTCCTCTGGGAAATCCAGTGGAGAAGCTGTGCTGGTGTTCCAGAATCTCCAGATTATATCCAGGTAGGAATGCTTGGCTGGTGTCCCAGAATCTCCAGATTATATCCAGGCAGGAATGCTTGGCTGGTGTTCCAGAATCTCCAGATTATATCCAGGTAGGAATGCTTGGCTGGTGTTCCAGAATCTCCAGATTATATCCAGGCAGGAATGCTTGGCTGGTGTTCCAGAATCTCCAGATTATATCCAGGTAGGATTGCTTGGCTGGTGTTCCAGAATCTCCAGATTATATCCAGGTAGGAATGCTTGGCTGGTGTCCCAGAATCTCCAGGTTATATCCGGGTAGCAATGCTTGGCTCCTCCCTCTGGGCTCACATCTCCCAATGGGATGCTGCAGTTCTTATCAGCCATGCAGGGACATTCAATGGCCTCTTATCAACAGATGTCCCCCTGGAGGGAGGAGTGGATGTGTAACAGATAAGGAAAACTGCTGACTTGACAAAAGCCAACTGCCATCCAGATGATAATAAATACATCTTGCCTTGCAATCTGGAACACAGCACCATCCAAAATATCCACAGGAACCCTGTAACTGCAGCTAACTATTCCCTGTGTCTGCTGTGGGATCTGCCTCAGGCTCTGTTGCTCCTCAGGAGCCCAGCAGAGCTGATGTGTCCCCTTTGCCTTCTGCAGAGGCTGCTCTGGGCCCGCTGAAGCCGGCGCACACGGAGAGCGCCGCGGCCGTGCCGCCGCCGCCGCAGCGCCGGGACTCGGACAGGTACTGCCAGCTCTGCACGGCCTGGTTCAACAACCCCCTGATGGCACAGCAGCACTACGAGGGCAAAAAGCACAAGAAGAACGCGGCCAGGGCCGACCTCCTGGAGCAGCTGGGGAAGACCCTGGACCTGGGGGAGCTGCGAGGTGAGGCCCTTTTGAGCTGGTGATGGAGAGGTGCAGTTTGATTTAGTAATTTGATTCAAATGTCCAGATGAACATTTGAATCTTGACAAGTACCTGTGACAGTGTTCACAGGGGTTTTTGGGTTGGGGAAGAGACGAGGATCTGACTCCGTGTTTCAGAAGGCTTGATTTATTATTTTATGATATATATTACATTAAAACTGTACTAAAAGAATAAAAGAAAAGGTTTCATCAGAAAGCCAGCTAGGAATAGAGTAGAATGATAACAAAGGTTTGTGGCTCGGCTCTCTGTCTGAGCCAGCTGGGCTGTGATTGGCCATTAATTAGAAACATCCAAAATGTGCCAATCCCTGATGCACCTGTTGCATTCCACAGCAGCAGATAACCATTGGTTACATTTTGTTCCTGAGGCCTCTCGGCTTCTCAGGAGGAGAAATCCCAAGGAAAGGATTTTTCATACAAGATGCCTGTGACAAGTACCTGCTTGCTCTGGGCTGTAGGCACAGGGTCACAATCCCCTGTGCACACAAGGACTGACTCAGACAGCTGAGGAAGAAGGACAAGGTTGATTCAGAGCTGAGGAAGAAGGACAAGGTTGATTCAGAGCTGTGAGAGCTTTGGTTTGGCAGTGAGGCTTTGCAATACCGTTTTGATACACCTGGTTCTTCTTCCTTGCTAAATGAAATAATTTTTCTTTAGATGCTAATGACTGTACAGTATATTGTGCATTTCTTGGTCTCCCATAAACCTTGTAATGGTTATCTTGATCCTCCTGTGCTACCTAGTGTGACTCACAGTGCCATCAATGATTCATGTTGGCTGAGTCACTGCCCGCTGCTGGAAATATGTGGGAATAAAACCTGGGACAATAACATGGAAGTGCTCAGTACTTTGAGCTGTGCCAAGCTCAGGAGTGGCTGAGGATGTCATTAAGTGTAAATAAATCAATTGGGAAGTGTTTTATTCATTTAGCTCCTGGGAGAGTTGAAATTGGAGGCCTTCACAGCCTGGTCAGCTGCTGGTTTTTACCTTCACGGTGGTGCTGTGCATGGCTGGGGTTTGCACTGGATCCAGTGTGGTGAGGGGACAGCAGAGCCTGGTACAGGGGACCAGGGATGGGCACTTCAGGGAGGTGTTCCAGGGGCTCAGCCTGCAGTGCCCCGTGCTCCACAGCACCAGCCCAGGTGCACAGGGAGCCAAGGAGGGGAAATCCTTCAGTTCTTCTAACCAGATTGTGAGCATCTGGCTCTGTCTGTCTAGAGATGCTCTCCTGGCTGAATTTACCTGCAAGATCAGAGCAGATCTTGACAGGTGAGCAAAGCAGTCTCTGCAGTGGCCTCCACACCACGATACCCAGCCTCACCTTGCCAGGTGACATCATCTCTGCCTCCAGGGCAGCAGTGGCAGCAGGACACGTGCTGGGGACACCATCCCCACGCTCTCCCTGCCCCACGCTGTCTTTGCTGCCTCAGTTTTCCCTGGATTGCAAAGTCATCTCCTTCCCCTGCATCCCCGGTGGCTTCTCCCATCACAGCTTAAATATTAATTCTATTTTGACTAGTGTGGGAGATGAACATTTGATGCATTGTGTGAGCCTGGAATAGGCAGTGTCAGTTGAAGTACAACATTTCAGCAGCCTTTGATGTTTTCATAATGGCTGTAATAAAATATTTATTGATAAATATGAACGTATATTTGGAGAAATAAGAATAGAGATATATTTTTGGACAATTGATATTTATAGGAAACAAAAACATTGATCTTCTCACCAAGTGCTCATCCTGAAATTTTGAAGTCTTATTTTCTTCTCAGAAATAAGAATGAGGAGAGGGGAGGGAAAAAAAGGAGAAATGAGCATTGTTTCTGCAGTCTGTGTTGAGTTAAAGCTGCAGCACAGGGCACACAGATCCCTTTTCCTTGGCTGGATGGGGTGCAGGGTCCAGCCCACCCTCAGAGCAGTTCTGTGGGGCTTTCCAGCTGTGGCACAGAGCAGCTTTGGGACCCATCCTGCTGTGTGGCTGACCTGGAATCCCTGAAAGAGGAAGGAATTGAGAGGTTTCTTCCTGCAGAGCTGTGTCCCCTGCACCTTTTGTCATAGGAAGACAAAACCTGGTGGGTACCAACCCCCAGATTCCACAGCTCAAAGGGGCCATGGCTCAGGTGGAGGCAGCCCTGGGCTCCATCTGACAGCTCTCACCCTCCCCAGCCTGTCCCAGGCACAGGAGGAATGTTCAATTTCCTCCATCAAGTCACATCTCACCAGTTGTAGCTCATGGCTGGTGTCCCCCATGGCCCAGCTCTCCTGTTCCCTCTCCCAGGCAGGTGGGCTCTGCAGTGGCAGCTGGTTTGGAAGGTGCTGGGGGCCATCCAAACCCTGCAACAGGTGCTCTGAGTCCCTGAAATAAATCCCAAAAATAAATCTGAATCCCTAAAAAACCCTGCATCCAAACCCTGCAACAGGTGCTCTGAATCCCTAAAATAAATCTGAATCCCTTAAAAAACCCTGCAACAAGTGCTCTGAATCCCTAAAATAAATCTGAATCCCTTAAAAAACCCTGCAGCAAGTGCTCTGAATCCCTAAAATAAAGCACAGCAGCCTCTGCAGGACAGAGGGACAGGGGCACAGAGATGATGTCACTTGGAGCCTTTGTGTTCCCAGGTAAATTGGTGGTGCTGCAGATGCACCAGCATCAGGCAATGAGCTGTGTTTCCTTTTTCATCCCAGCTCATAATTTCTTTGTATGCCTTATAAATACCTCTCATTCTGTGCTGTCACTTGTGGTTAGTAAGAAGCAGCTTAACAAGAACTCCCCTGGAATGGGTTTTAATTCATTTTATGCAGGATGACATTAATAACTTGACTTGTTAGTGTTTTATTTAATGGGGATAGGAGGGCATTCAGTTTTACATGAATGCGTGTCACGCTGCAGGGGAGGCAGTGCTGATGTGTCTGGAGGATGCAGGAGGGGATGTGAACACAGGGAGAGCCCAGCAGCTGCCAGCATGGACTGCTCAGGCTGGGACCACCCCATGGCCTGCAGGGCTCAGCTCAGCCCCAGAGCACTGCTGGGGGAGTTTATGGAACCAGTTTCAGCCAAGCAGCAGCTTTGATGAGCTCCAGCGAGGTCAAATTGTGGTGATTTTTATATCCTGGAAGTGGTTGTTGCCCCTGTGGTCTCATCCTGCTGCTCATTTCAGGCTGCTTTCCTCCTCCATCTCCATCCCAGTTCATGGAATCTGCCCAGCTTGGGGCTGCATGTTGCAGCCTGTGGGAAGAGCTGGGAGCAGCACTGATTGCACAGGGAGGGGGAGCAGGGTTCCCCCTGGTTCATCTCTGTGAGTAGCCTTGACATGCTGAGGGAGAAAATCATCATCCCCACTTAGGAGCTGCTTTGCTGAAGGCGTTTCCACCTACACCAGTAATTAAGATTCACTGAGGCTGCTCTTAACGTGCTGCTAAATTGGCTGAGCAGCAGAACCTTATTACCTTAAATTAAAGAATTACCTGTTTCTTAGCTCTCCAGTCCCACTCTGATGTGGAGATCCTGGTGGGGTCCAAGTTCTGCTGCAGTGTGCTGACACACCATTCCTGCCCTTCCTATTCCTTCTCCTGCATTCTGGGAGATTCATGTGGCTTCTGATGCCTCTTGGTTGAATAAATGAAAACAGGAGCTGCCAACAGGACAAAGGGCATGACTGTAAAATCATCACTTCTTCATCAAGAATAAATTCTGTAAGGAGAAAAATCCATATGCACATTTGCAAATTGATTTTTTGTTCTGTGCCACGTCGTGACACAGAAATACAGAAACTACTTAAATACCTCTGCAGTTGCTGGCTTGTTGTTTTCGAGCACTCATCTGAATGATTTTGGAATATTATTTAAAGATGATTTTCATGTTGTGCCAAATTCCTGGGTGGGAGATATTATGAAGTGCTTGAGAAAAGTGGGGCTGTTGGTGTAGCTGGTTCCTAGTGCAGAACAAGACAAGGGATTTTTTGAGAAAAGAAGAAAGGCAGGTCCAGCTGGGGAGGAGTCAGTGTGTTTATGACCTGTGCAGTTAATTATGGTGAGCGTGGACTGATCAAATTTGACAATGCCACACGTTATTTGTTCTAAATGAGTCGTTCTAACCATTTTGGCAAAGAATAATAATGTAGAAAGCCAGAAGAGACTATTACAAGGAACATTAGGAGTGTTGCTGAGGAGCACAGCAATCCCTGCTAGGAATCTCCAGTGTTTTCAAGCAGAGCCCTTGTACTGCAGCCAAGAGAGAACCCAGCAGGTGAGAGAGCCCCTGCTTTGGCTTTTTGGGGCTGCCAGCCTTGACCTTCAGCCAGAGGCTCTGGGAGAGCAGAATCTGTGCTTGGCTGGTTCACTTGGGTGGATAAATCAGAGTGGATCCCTCTGGGGAAAAGAGAGCTCCTAAGTGATCTGGCTGCTGAATGTGCTAACAGGGAATTGCTCTGAATTATGAGCACTACCAGAAACCAGAGGGATAAATGGTGCCTGGAGTGCTTGTTAGGGTGAGCACAGTGATGATGCCCTGAGGAGAGCACAGGAGAGATTCACCACACTCTCAGGAGGAATGAGCCTTTGAACCTGGCTTTCTTCTGCTCAGTTCTAAAAATACTCCTTTAGGTTTCTCTAATGCTTGGGTAGCCTGGCCTGGAAAAGTCAATAGATGGGTCACTGTAAAGAGAAATGTCTGTGAAAGTGGAAATGAAATGTGGGGTCCAAGTACCTTCTAATTGACTAGAAGTTGGCTTGGAGCACAGGTTACTGCTTTTTTTTTTCTATTTCTCCCCCTTTCTTCAGTCATTTTCACTTACTTGTAATTCCTAGCTGTCATTTTGAACAGTCTGTAACCCAGAGTGTTTCCCTCTGGTGCAGCCTGTGCTCCCCTGAGCCTCACCATGTGGCACAGGTGCAGCCAAGACTTAATTAATTAATAATTAATTAATTTTTGGCTTTCTTCACAGGCCTGAAGCGCAGCTACACCTGCAACATCTGCAACGTCACCCTGAACTCCATAGAGCAGTACCATGCACACCTGAAGGGCTCCAAACACCAGACCAAGTGAGTGGCACTGTGCCTCTCTCTGCCAGGGGGCTGCAGTCTGTCTGTCTGTCTGTCTGTCTGTCAGGGTGGGATGCTCTGGGACAGTGCTTTGCCCCCCAGCAGAGGAGCCCTGTGCTAGCACAGGTACCAGAGGCTCCTCCAGGTGGAGGAAGGCAGGGCTGTTGTGCTGTGATTTCAGGGTTTACCCCAGAACCCCGGATCCCTCCCCTGATAATTCCCTGCCCAGGTGTGTCAGTCCCCTCTCCTGCCCCTCCCAGCACTGTCTGTCAGTCCTGGCATTCCAGAAGGGCCTCGAGTGATTGGGCAGATCCAAAGGATGCCCTCTACCCCTGGGGGGCCCTGGGCCATCCAGGTGTCCTTTGTCCCTTTGTCCCTCCCCTCCTGTCCCTGCTTGGTGCCTCCCTGCCCCTTCCCTGCCCCTCTCCCCGGGGTTAAAGGAGCAGCAGCCACGGGCTCAGGGAGTTCTGTGGGAGCTGGTGCTGCATTCAGAGGCCTGAGGGCCAGAATAAAGCTCTGGATCCAAACCCTCCCTCAGAACCGACTCCTTTCCTTCACCATGGCCTGAAAGCTTCTCCACAGAGGGAAACCTGAGGGGCAGCCCCTGGTATGGGGGGAAGCTCCATCCCAGCAGCACCAGAGCTCCTGCAGGCCTGGACTTGTCTGCAGGGCCCAGCTGCAGCACCCAGGCAGCCCAAAGTGTCTGTGGGGTGAAACACCACACACCCAGGCAGCCCAAAGTGTCTGTGGGGTGAAACACCACACACCCAGCAGCCCAAAGTGTCTGTGGGGTGAAACACCACACACCCAGGCAGCCAAAGGTGTCTGTGGGGTGAAACACCACACACCCAGGCAGCCCAAAGTGTCCCTGGGGTGAAACACCACACACCCAGGCAGCCCAAAGTGTCTGTGGGGTGAAACACCACACACCCAGGCAGCCCAAAGTGTCTGTGGGGTGAAACACCACCCACCCAGGCAGCCCAAAGTGTCTGTGGGGTGAAACACCACACACCCAGGCAGCCCAAAGTGTCCCTGGGGTGAAACACCACAGTTGCTGCTGTTTGGTTCAGCACCAAGGGCCAGACAAGCTCAGGCACATCCTGCCCACAATATTGGGGATATCCCAATACAGGGCTTGAACCCACATGGGCTTGCTGGAGTCCCACTGACTTGTGGATAATGATACTGAGTGTGCAGCTTCTTTCATGTGTGGAACCTCAGAAGAGACACCATGAGCCTAAGGGGATTAGGTGTTTCCCAGTGAAATAATTTTTTTCCTGTGATTTAGACTAATTATGCATTACCCAGCTATGAGAACTGGGGGGAGTCTGCTCTGTCAATTACTACAAATTATTAAAATGAAGTGATGGAGAAACATGATACCAGGGACTAGATTAATGAACTAATTGCTCTTAATGCACTTATATGTGAGCTTTGGGAACTGTTTCAGGCTGAATCACTTGGAACTGCCCAGATTAGGAGAGGAATATAAAGGGATATACCTGAAGTGCTTCAGGTACCTTTGAGGGTACTCAGAAAAGTGAGCAGGATGAGCAGAACTAGCAATGACTGCTCATTTTGCTTAGGCCAGCAAAGGATAAAACCAGCTCTTCCCCAGCTGCTGTCAGACCTTCTCAGGCTCCTGGTATTTATTCACATTAGCTTTATTCTATTTATTTATTTATTTGAATGCCTTCCAGATGCAGTGATGCAGCACAGCTGGCAGTGCAGGTGTGTTGTGGAGCAGGGGGCTGGGCCAGGTGGGTGAGCCAGGTGTGGTTTTGGGCTGTTCCATGAACAACCTGTGAGCTTGGCTGCCTCCATCTCCTGCTCTTCAGCACAGCTCCCTGCTGGGGAATCCCTGCCCAGCCAGGTCATGTGGGAGCAGCTGGGACAGGCACACCCAGTGCAAGAAATTCCCACTGCTGGAAAACAGGGCTCAGAGCTCTTCCTCTTGGAAACCTGGAATGGCAGCATCTGTGCTGTGCTGCCCTGGCCCAGAGCTGTCATTTATCCTTCCCTTTCCAGTCCTTCCAAGTCTGTGTGATTATTGCTGTGGTTGCTGTTGGCATTGCTGTGAAGGATAAAGAAGTTTATCTCAAACCAGAGCAGCCTCATGGATGGGAGACAGAGATGTGCAGAGGAAGATGTGTCACCAATCCCCCACACCAGAAGGGTGCCTGGCCTCTGGGTTACCCCCACACCTTCTGCCCTGTTGTGCAGTCTCCTGCAATTAGCAGAGATTAAGAAATCTTAATTTCTAGTGCTGTGAATGAACACCTGGGGAAGTTATTTGTGCTTTGACTGTGGTAGGAGTGACAGATGACACACCTGCCCTGGGCTCAGCCTGTTTATCTCAAACCAGAGCAGCCTCATGGATGGGAGACAGAGATGTGCAGAGGAAGGTGTGTCACCAATCCCCCACAGCAGAAGGGTGCCTGGTCCAGCACAAACAACAGATTCTGGGCTGCATCTATGTCTCACTGGCTTTTCCAAGCAATTGCCTCTTCCAAACAAAGACAGGGACTTGGGGAATGCAGAGCTGGTCCTTTGCTGGGTTCCCAGAGCTGTGGTGTCCCATGGCAGCACTGTGGCTCCCAGGTGTGCTGTGTGCTGGGGCAGGTGAGGATCATCCCCTGCTCACTCCTCAGCCAGTGTTCCCCCTGGTTTCTGCTGCTCTCATTATTGCTGCTTAATGTCAAGGCTGTCCTCTGCCTCCTAACTCAGGCTGAAGCCCCTGGACTGCAGTTGCCAAGGCAACAAAACATTTTCTGTAGCTGTCCTACTTCATTCACAGTTAAAAACTAAACAAACCTGGAGAAAGGGGCAGTTAGTGAAGGACTGGGGTGAAGGGACACAGGGATTTTGCTCTGGGACAAAAGGCAAAACAGGGAACAGTGATTGCAGGATGGAAGCTGATACCCACCCAAAAAATGCCAGGCAGATGAGTTTCCTGGAAAGCTGCTTCAGGAGTTCACAACTTTTATGAGGCATGAGCTGCATTGTGGTTATTTATTACTGCTCCTGAGAGCTCTGCAGAGCTGAGAGCCCCAGTTAGAGCTGCCTTAAATAACCCACCACACTCACCAGGAGCTGGCAGCTGTGTTAACCAGGAGCCTGGCACTGCCCTGGGGAGGGCTGGGGCTCCATGGGCAGCACAATTTGAGGGCTGGGGGTGTTGGGGCTCCATGGGCAGCACAATTTGAAGGTTGGGGGTCCTGGGGCTCCATGGGCAGCACATTTTGAGGGCTGGGGTTCCATGGGCAGCACAATTTGAGGCTTGTACCCAGCAGCTGAGCTGCTCTTCCTTGAGTGGTGTGGCCAGGAGAAATTAACAGTTCATAGGAACGTCAGTTGTGACCCCAAGTGCTTTTAAATGCATTTGTTTGACCAAAAGAGGGGGGAATAGGGCTTAGGAAGGAAGCTGGAGGTTTCTTGGCTGGTATTTTGGTGTTGAATAAAAGATGCAGGAAGAGTGAGCTAATACTGAGCTGGTCCTTATCCCTCCAGCTGTGCAGGCACAAAGCAGATATATCTGCCAGCTCCTGGGTTTCTTCTCTAGGTACTTGAGTTCAATTTGAAAATTAAGGTGAAATGCCCCACTGGCTGTGTGGGGAGTGCAGGGCTCAGCTCAGGCTCCCTTGGGTGATGCTGCTGGCTGTGGGCACAGGGCAGGTGTTGGGGTGTGATGGTGCTCACAGGGGTTCTTGGATGAGGGAAGGGACAAGGATGAGGGTTCTTGGACGAGGATCTGACTCCATGTTTCAGAAGGCTGATTTATTATTTTATTATATATATGTATATATGTATATATATATGTATATATATATGTATATATGCATATATATATGATATCTATTACATATATATTACATTATATATTTAATGTAATATGTATTACATTAAAACTATACTAAAAGAATAGAAGAAAGGATTTCATCAGAAGGCTGGCTAAGAATAGAAAAAGAAAGAATGATAACAAAGGCTTGTGGCTCGGCTCTCTGTCCGAGCCAGCTGGGCTGTGATTGGCCCTTAATTAGAAACATCCACATGAGCCCAATCCCAGATGCACCTGTTGCATTCCACAGCAGCAGATAACCATTGCTTACATTTTGTTCCTGAGGCCTCTCAGCTTCTCAGGAGGAGAAATCCTAAGGAAAGGATTTTCCATGGAAGATGCCTGTGACACCCGTGGGTGTGTGGGTGCTGCAGGGAGCAGAGGTGCCTTTGGCAGGGCAGAGAGCCCAGACTCAGGTTTGGGGTGGGTGTCAGCCCTGGGCCAGCTGTGGGTCTGTCACACGTGCCAGAGTCAGAGCTGAGCTCTGGGCTCCTCTGCTCGGGCTGGCAGCCACGGAGGGCTGAGATCCAGCCCTGGTAATTAACAGTCTGGCTGTGTGGGGATAACCATTCCCGCTTCCATAAAGAAGAACTTTGTCTTCTCGCCTTCATTTTTGTCTCTTTGATCAGCCAGACCTCTCTGCCACATCTAGAGCTCACAAATGTATTCCAGGCTTTTATAATCGCTCATTTGCACTTTCATAGATGCTAATACATGGAAGGGTTTCCCTTTCAGGCTCAGGCTTGCTGGTTAATTGTGGGATTTTTGCAGAGAGAGGACCAAATCCTGCATTGGTGTTAAACCCATTCACCATCCATCATTGGTGTTAAACCAATTCAATGGTCAAAATTAATTCTGAGGGGTTAAGAGCGGTCATGTCCAGTAGGGGAGGAGGCTCTGGAGCCTTTCCTGCACAACTCTCAGATTTTGGGCTGTACCCTGGGGAAGCCCAGATGGTTGCTGTCCTGCTGAGGAGCAGAGGCAGCAGGCTTGGGCCTGGGCAGGCTCTTTCCTCTTTTCTTTCCTTTTTTTTATTTTCAGGCTGAGAACACAGATGTCTAATTGGAACAGGGTATTTATCAACATAAGCTGCTTGGCTATTCAGGCATGAGCTAATCAAAATATTGTTAATATCATGTCTGGAGAAATGTCACCCTTTCCTATGGTTGCATTTACATCGCTTTTCCCATCTATTTAAGAAGGTGTGAACAAACACTGACAGCCTGTTGTGGCTGAAGCTTGTCCCAGGGTCTGTGTGTCTGGCACAGCCAACACGTGGGGAGCTCTGGGGCTGCCTGGCCCGGCTCCACCTGGGTCAGATTTTGTGCCAAGTGCTGTTTCTGTTTCTCCTGGATGCTTCCAGCCCTGTCCCTGGTGCCAGCAGGGTGGGGCTCCTTCTGCACATCCTTGTCAGAACCCAGGACATTGCTCTGGCTGCCCTGGAGGGCTCCAGACCCTGGCAGGGGCTCAGAGACAGAGTCAAAACCACCTGTGCCTTTGATTTTAGCCCATGGAAACAATTCCCAACTTTGTGTGAGGAGTTACAAGGCACAAGAGTTTGAGTGGAATGACAGTGAATTTGTCACAGGGTGAAAAAGTAGAATTTTGGGGATTTAGAATGGGGGTTCAAGAGGCAAGATGGAGGCATCTGGGTGTGTCCTGTCCTCCTCCTCCTCTGTCTTCTTCGTCTTCTTCATCTTCTTCATCTTCTTCTTCTTCGTCCTCTTCGTCTTCTTCTCCTTCTTCTCCTTCTTCTCCTTCTTCTCCTTCTTCTCCTTCTTCTCCTTCTTCTCCTCCATCTTCTGCTGTGTTGGTGACACTTTTGGATTGGTTTAGAGCAGAGACAGACTGTCTAACACAGGTGATAGGTACTGGAAAATTATTGTCAATAAAGCACAGGTAGTTTTTAGTATAAAAAGCCAACACCACCCCAAGGGCAGGGACTGTGCCACAGCCCGACCTGCTGGACAGAGCTCAGCAGGTCAGGGAAATAATGGCATAGATGAGAGAAAATAAACAGCCTTGAAAAGCAGAACCAACAATTCTTGGCTTTTTCTTTGGTCGTGGGGTTGGGAGAAAAAAGACTTTCTCAACCACAGAAACCCAAGACATCCTCACTCAAGATGAAGGTGTTCTCTGACAGAAGATTTCCTGTAAATTTCTGTAAATTAGAGTTGTATTTGCACTTCACACCCAAGCCAAGTGATTTTGTTCTACAGTAACACTTGGGAATAGTAGCATTTCCATGTGCTTTTTTTGCAGTATATAGTGGGTTATGGTAAAGGAACCTTTAGAGCACTAACAACTCCAGAAGATGAATAGTTACAAAAGGTAGATGGAATTGATAGGCATTTTAATTTGTCATAGTTTCAGTTCCAGGGAGCAGCTGAATAATTACACTGCCTGTGAAGAAAGGGAATGTAATACTTCCCCTCATTATAGATCTGACTTGTCTCCCTTCCCTTTTAATGTAAGTGAAAATGAAGATATCTCTGATATCTTCTGTTTTGATCATAATTTGAAAGCCCCAGAACAGCCTGTACAGCTCTGTGTGGTGCTTTGGGGTGTACAGATTAATCATTTCAATGTAAAACCCAAACACTGGGTTAATTGCTCAAAGCACAAACCTGAGCTTGCCAATGCCAATTCCCATGAGGAATTCCTCATCAGCTGAGCTCTGCTGGGCCGTGGAGGAGGCCAGTTGGGCAGGATTTGTGAGGCTCTTAAATTCAAATTTAAGACCTAAAGAAAGGAGACTTTTTGCAGTTTGCTTTGGTGGTTTTCTTTCATGAAACACACCAGGATGGAGCATGACTTGGGCTTCTTTTCTCTCTTGCAGCCTGAAGAACCAATAGTGGCTCATCAGTGGAGAAGAGGACAAGCACTAATGCTGCTTCTGTGGAGGGGAGCAGGTCAGCAGGAGAGGAAGCTTTCTTGGACAGTGATCCTATGTGGATTCAATAATTAACATGTAACTAACCTTTGCTTTGGACAAGTACATGGATTATTTTTTTTTTTTTAATTTTGTGGTGAGTTAAAATATTTCGATGGATTTTTTTACCCTTTCAAGACAATATTTATTCAGCACAGAGTCTAGAGTATGATAACTATTCTGTAAATACAGCACTTACTCATCAGTCATCTTCAGGGACAGTGGAAACAAACTATTTTACTTTTTCATATTTATTCCTAGATTCCTCCCAAGAGTATAAGATTATTCTACTACATTATCCATGATAGTGATGTAATCAGTCTTCAATCAGAAATAAACACACTTCCTTCACCTTCTCCAGCATGGTTTGTGTCAACACATACAGAGCAGCAGCAGTGAACCGTGGGGATTGTGTAATGGATGAGTTCCTTCCTTCCTTCCCTCTTTGTCTCTAAAGAAACAAATGGGTTCCATGAGTAAAGAACACTGAAAAGAAAGTGTGAATTCTTTTTCCTGCCGGTAGGATTCCTGCAGGCCCAGCAGAAGCCGTTTGCTGGATTGACTTTGCTGCGAGGCCGGACGCTGCCGTGCCCACCGGAGAGTGCAGGTGCCACCAGAGCCTTGCCACAGGCTGAGCTGGCCAGGCCCTCCCAGGTAAGGCTGGACAGGGGCTCAGCCCTGCACTGACCCAGCTCTGCCCGGCAGGAGCTCGTTCCCCTGCCTGCTTTGGGCACCTGAGCAGAGCAGGAGCCGAGCGGGAGGAGAGCCCTGCAGTGCTCTGCACCCCGGGGCTGCCCAGAGCTCTGCTGGCCAGGAGCCCCAGCCCTGGGCAGTGCCTGAGCGGCCCCTGAGCAGTGCCTGTGCCCTTGGGCTGTGTTTGAGCCCTGGGCAGTGCCTGAGCTGCCCCTGGGCTGTGTCTGAGCCCCTGGGCTGTGCCTGTGCCCCTGGGCTGTGCCTGTGCCCCTGGGCTGTGTCTGAGCCCCTGGGCTGTGTCTGAGCCCCTGAGAATGTGTCTGAGCCCCTGGGCTGTGCCTGAGCCCCTGGGCTGTCCCTGAGCCCCTGGGCTGTGTTTGAGCCCTGGGCTGTCCCTGAGCCCCTGGCCAGTGCCCGAGCCCCTGGGTAGTGCCCAGAGCTCTGGGCATTACCTGAGCCCCTGGGCTGTACCTGAGTCCCCCCTGGGCTGTCCCTGAGCTGCCCCTGGGCTGTGCCTGAGCTGCCCCTGGGCTGTGTCTGAGCCCTGAGCTGTGCCCAAGCCCCTGGGCTGTGTCTGAGCCCCTGGGCAGTGCCCAGAGCTCTGCTGGCCAGGAGCCCCAGCCTTGGGCTGTACCTGAGCTGTACCTGAGCCTCTGGGCTGTCCTTGAGCTCTGGGCATTACCTGAGTCTCTCCTGGGCTGTCCCTGAGCCCTGGGCAGTGCCTGAGCCCTTCCTGGGTTGTCCCTGAGCCTCCAGAGCTGTGGAGGGACAGTTCAGGTGCCCTGCAGCATCACCTCCTTCCCTCTTTGGGGACACTCAGAGGCACTGCAGAAGCTCTGTGTGATTAATTTGTGCTCTTGCATCGATGCCTTTCATGTGTGGAGGAGAATGGGTTTTTCACAGATGAGTAAACATCTCCTTGGGTTTCATAGCTGTGGGGTGGTTTCATTTATTGTGTTTTGGGTAATAACACGAGCTGCCAGTGTTCCTGAAGCTAAACTGCCTCTTTACAGAGAGAATGATTTACAGAAATAGGGCACATCAGTCATGTGGGTTCAAGCCTGACTTTTCCAAGCCTTCTTTCCCCAAAGGAGCCCTCCCCCAAGCAGCATCCAGGGTGCTGCAGAGGCGTTTTTGTCAGGAGACAAGTCCAAAAATCTGTGTGCTCTAGTAATCACTACAAGCTAATTGCAGCAAATTAATTACAGCACAAACACAATTTCTTTCCCCAGGCAGGCATGGAGACAGCTCTGCAGTGAGCTGGGCTGGACCCAGGCTCTGCTCCCAGCCTGGGCTAGGCTGGATGTTCTCCCTGGGCTGTCCAGGTGTCACTGGTGCCACTCTGGTGTCACTGGTGCCACTCTGGTGCCACTGGTGTCACTGGTGTCACTCTGGTGTCACTCTGGTGTCACTCTGATGTCACTGGTGCCACTCTGGTGCCACTCTGGTGTCACTGGTGTCACTGGTGCCACTCTGGTGCCACTCTGGTGTCTTGTGGCACTGCAGAGCAGGCTCGGCACTGCTGATGGGATTCCCACCCACAGCACCTGGCCCAGGTGAGTGGGAGGCAGGTGAGCTGCCCCATCACACCCCTGGCTCCAGCTTCTGCCTGGAGTGACAGAGCAACACAATATTCCCATTTGCTGCCAATGCTGTCCAGGTCTTTGGTCCCTAAATCCTTTTCATCTGTTGCTTTTCCTAAGTTCATTAGGTTTTCAAAGCAAGACATAAAAAGATAAATCTGCTCATGGTAAGGCAGTGATCCTTGTAGAAGTGATGCCAGATCTCTGATGTCAAGCCTGGTCCAATGGCCCCAGGCTGGAATGTGTGAGAGGATGTATTAGAGAGCTTTGAAAATGGTTCAGTACAACCACTGCATCCCCCTAGGTTACTTTAAACTGGAGGGTGAAAACATTTGGGTATATTTTCTTCATTAAAAAAAAAAAACCATAAAAACACACTCAGCATTTTTCATGCAGAACATCCATAGGTAACAATTTGATTTTTCTCTGTTCTGGCCAAATGTTTTACTGGTTTAAAATCCTGTGCAAGATATTCTGTAAAGAAAGTAAATCTCAATAATGTGTGTTCAGTCTGCTTGGGTCTCTCCCCAGACTCACTTTACAGTCAGTGCTCCCTGGAATACAGGTGGCACTGGGAGAAATGCAATGTTTCAGAAGTGTTCCATTAATGTGGCCATACTGAGGCAGCTCTCCCGAGTCTGGTTGTGTTTCAGGGGCAGGACACTGACTTCCAGTGGTGTTTTATGCTCAGTCACAGCCCAAAACAAATAATACGTGGTTTTATCTGGCTCCTTATGTGGAGGCAATGGAGCTCTATGGCAACAGGGTGTAACCTGAGGCCGCCCTGAGACAGCAGCTTCATACAGAGATTAATCATGGCAGGAGAATGCTCCTGCTACCTAAGTGCTGCTTCCTTTGTGAAGTTCCCGTTGCATCAACTTAATTAGCAAGCCCTGACCTTTCAAACCACCCTCCATAATCTTCAAATTAAGTATGTGGAAGTCTGGTTCTTCCTCTGGGCTGCACCTGCCTGAGGCCATGGACCTGAGCAGCTGCCAGGCACAGCAAGAGGCTGTGGGGAGTCCCCAGGGCTGGAGTGGGGCTGGGGACAAGCAGGACCCACTCTGGGGGTTAAATGAGAGCTCCGGAGAGAGAGCAAATGTCCATCAGCCCTGCAGTGTGCTCCTGCTGAAGTTCCTGCGCTGGGCTCCAGGGTGAGACTGCAGGGGAAATTCTGTGCTGGGGCACTGCTCCCTCTTTGAACCCTGGCACCCACTCGCAGGTCTCTGACAAAAGCCTTTGTCTAACACGGTTTTAATCAGTGTGTGCATTTCGATTTGCATATTAATAGCAAGGAGCTGTTATTACAGCTGCTGTTGATGAGATGGTGTCAGGCCCATCTTCCCATCCGAGGGAAGAAAGGAACTGCATCTATTATGTAAAGAATGACTTCGGCAGAAAACATGTCTGAGGATCGTCCATTCTTTGTCTCTATCTTCCTTTATCTCTGCCTTTATTTTGCTCTTAATGGCTCGTATAGATGCATTCATTAAGCTTCTTTTTTCCCCTTAGAACAAGGATCATTTAACAAGAGACTGGGGCAGGATTTTGTGCCTGTTGTGACAGCTCCGAGCTAAATACAACAGTCTTGTTCAGTGCTTTTGACTTCTGGAGAATGACAAAAGGTGGCCCCGCTCTGGGAGCCGTTTTTTGCAGCTGACCCAGAAGAATAATTTACATTATGGCAGTGCTCTGCAGGCCCCAGCCTTCCACAGCTCCACAGTGTTGGCTTCCCCATCCATCCCAGAGCCAGACTGGGCTGAGGTGGTGCTGATGGCACAGGAGGCAGAGGGAGCAGGGCTGCTGCTCCTCAGAGGATGCACTGGGATGAGGGAGTGCTCATGGGATAGCTCAAACAGCGATAAAGGAGAACTCTGGAAACAGAAAATGCAAAGAAAAAGCCCTGAGGACAAAGCTCTGCCCTCCAGCCCAGCTCCACGAAATGAGCTGGAGGAAGAAGCTGCAGCAGGGGCAGTGCTGGTCTGAACAGAGAGACAACCCCAGTTCACCCACTGCTGCCAATTCAACAGCTCCTCCTAATGAGGAAATTGCTATCTGTGCTAGGCAGTGTGGAACCCAGCAGGTGCACAGGATTAAATAACAGAAGAGCATCTTTGCCAGCGCCAGAAACGTGGTGGTGCAGTGCCAGGGGTGAGTGGGGGCCTTGCGTGGGTGCTGTGAGGACGCTGCCTTTGTGTTTGGCCCTGGGGAGCACAGACATGGGCGGGTTTGTGCCCCTGGGCCACTTGGCTGGGGTGGCCAGGAGCAGGCCTGGAACAGGAGCCTCTCCCCTCAGCCTGCCCTCACAGGTGGCACAGGCTGCTCAGGCAGTGCCTTTGCCTGCTCCTGCAGTTTAAATTGCAGTTTAAATTGCAGTTTAAATTGCAGTTTAAATTGCAGTTTAAATCTGGAAAGGCCTGGCCAGAATCCAGCTCGCAGCATGCACCTCTAAGCCAGGGAGTGCTGTCTCCATTGCTCCCACCATGAGTCACTTTCGAATGCAGATATTTAGTTCAGTAGTGCAGTCATGCATTAAAATGGATCTCAGTGAAAAGGCAGAGCTAATTATACAAGACCCAAACAATTCCCCCCTCCCCTCCCTCTTGTCCTGAGCATCTTTGGCCACTGACCAGTGAGTGCCCACAGGCTCTGGAAACAGGAAGGCAAAATCAATCTCTGCTCTTGTGCCCAAAGGTTGTTTTCCTCTCCAAATACCCCAAATATCTGCAGCCTCTCCCTGGCACTTATTTCACCCTTGTAATTAGTTCTGTGTAATTTGCTGTCAGTGCTGTAGCAGTGAGGATCTAAGGCCATAGGATAATAAGGTTGTCCTGGTTCAGGGCAAATTTTGGAAAGAACCCCCAAAGGTGTCAACTTAGGACAAAGATTTATAGTGAAAATTAGAGTATCCAGTAGATTCAGAGCCCAGACAGGTTTTAGGGCAACAGCAAATTCTCATTTGGATCAAGAGTAGGAACAACAAGCTTCCAGCTAGATCTAGACAAGAAAAAAAATCAGCTTCAATTTAATGTAATTATGGCAACAAATGAGACAGTGTGGGGCAAAAGGTAGTAAGTCCC